TGTCATATCTTCACGTTCGTAGAATCATGGATCTCTGACAAGACTAAAACACCTTAATTCTTCTTCGTTGCTGAAGGATGATGTAATAAAATTAATAATAATACGTAATTCGTACCGCAATCAGCAGCCAAACTCGGCTTTTGATATTGTACATGCTACTGCTTTGTTACTGCTAAACTGCAGAATAACAAAAGAAAAAAAAATCAAGCGTTTAAATTTACCAAGATAAAGGAAAGGAAGAAAGAATAAACTTAAGAAAAAAGAGAAAGAAAGAAAACAAGGAAAGCAAGCCTACACGAGAGGAGAGGGGAGCGGGGTTTGCTGACAGTGTCAGTTTGTGTCGATAAAGCATACTTGAAAATAAACGCGAGAACTGGTTTAAGATTTTCGCTCGTTTCACCACCTTTCACGAGCAGTTGATCAACAGAAATAAATATTCACAGAATTAAAAACATTCAGTCTGGTTTTAATGAATTTCCTCCAAATATTTCTATGCTTACGTCATGGGTGATCCATCAAACATACTTTCCGTCAGTCTGACATACATGCATGGATGTCGTGACTGGTCATGACCTTATTCTTGACCTGGTAGCTCCTATAAGAACCGTTTGTTGTTGATGTTTTCGCCGTTAAGTGTTGATTGTTAATAATACTACCTAAGGCTGCGAGCAAACGGACGCAACAACTCCCAACATTGTTGCGCCAACAATGTTGGGGGTTGTTGCGTGCGTGTTGGCAGTGGTCTGCAAACGGTTGCAACAACTCCCAACCAGTGCATCGTGGGAAGGACACAACCCATAAGTCTTTGTAAACCATGCGTAATGAGCGTGCGTGGCCCCAACTTGTTGGAAGAGCTGTGCAAACGGATCCAACATTGTTGCACTACGCTTCGGCGATCAAGGAACAAAAGAAATCTTGGGAGTAGTTGGCTGAAAAGTTTGACCGGTTTCAAACTTTGCGCAACAACATCCAACATCATGCAACAGGGTGTGCAAACGTACGCAACATGTAACATCCAACAATGTTGGGGAGTTGTTGGCAAATAATGTTGCGTCCGTTTGCACGGGGCTTAAGAAGAACAACAATCCCCTACACCAGCAAGCAGTTTGTTTAATCTTTGGTTTACAACGCAGGAAAAGGGGAAAAGCCTTTTTTTGTTCAAGATTATCATCCCTTATACGTTTGATCTGGGTCATTCAAAACTACCATGAAGGGTATCAGCTTCACCTAGCTGGCAAAATGTTTCCAAATTTATAGGCCACTTCAGCGTATTCGCGATCCATGCGTATCCCGAGGGACAGTCACGTGACAGTCAGTCCAAGTCTGAATGGCTTAAGCCTGAAGGACCAACGTAATGAACATAGAAGGCATCAAATCCAAGACTTTCGTGGATTTGTAGTCACATTTATTCACTTTTAGAAAGCACTAAATCGTGAGATTAGAGCCTACATATACTTAGTTCCTTCGAGAGCTTATCAAATAGCTTTAATCGTCAAGTCACAACTGATAAATAGCACGCTTTTTCAACACGTTGCAGGCATCGATCAAAGAGGACCGATTGTTGGTAGTCTCAAGACGAAAATCAGAACATTTCATGGTGCATGTGTCGAAGCCATAAATTCAAGTGAAGACAGTTCTAGGTGTAAGGGAGATCGTGGTGAAAACACTCCCCTCCCAGTGGCACCAAGTCGAAGCCGACTCGTGTGGGTAGAGAGAGAAAGATACATTCAGAAATGATGGAAATGACGTCAAGGGAGGTGAAACCTTTCGACTCAAGGTTTCACTTACCCTGGTCCCAGAGGTTTTTCTTGAAATTTTTCTTCGGGAAGAGAGAGCGAGCCGCGAAGCGGCGAGGAGAGAGAGAACCCTCTGGTTACCTTGACCTCGAATCTCACTTTCATGCAGACGACAGTGTCAGGATCTGACCCTCGGGCTCGCTCTCTCTTTCCCGAAGAAAATTTCAAGAAAAACCTCTGGGACTAGGGTAGGTTCCACTTGAGTTTAAAACATTTGGACGTCATTTCTATAGTCACATAGGAGTAGAGACCAGTAGCATGGAATATTGCTGTCGAATTACTGAATGACAGCTTAGTATCTTCATTTGCTAGAAGGTAGCGGGGAAACTAGCCCGGTTGTTTGAATGACACAATTAAAACCAAAAATGTTTTAAGGCTTTGTTGGATGTTTTAATGGCGCTTTTCATACGAGGTTCATTACTTCGTTTGATAAAAAATAAACTTGCAACTAAAAAGACAGTTCAACTAAAAGGAGGCCGGTTTGACTTAAAAATAGTCGAGCACATTTGAAGATGAGAAACGGAGGAAACAATTTCTTGGTGTTGCTACAGGGAGCTGTCTTATAGTCGTCTCCCCTGAAAGAAAGCAGTTAGTAGCATGGACNTCTTCATTTGCTAGAAGGTAGCGGGGAAACTAGCCCGGTTGTTTGAATGACACAATTAAAACCAAAAATGTTTTAAGGCTTTGTTGGATGTTTTAATGGCGCTTTTCATACGAGGTTCATTACTTCGTTTGATAAAAAATAAACTTGCAACTAAAAAGACAGTTCAACTAAAAGGAGGCCGGTTTGACTTAAAAATAGTCGAGCACATTTGAAGATGAGAAACGGAGGAAACAATTTCTTGGTGTTGCTACAGGGAGCTGTCTTATAGTCGTCTCCCCTGAAAGAAAGCAGTTAGTAGCTTGGACTCCATGGGTAGATATTTCTTTTTTTGTGAGCATTTTTTAACGCCTTAAAAGACCTTCCCGGTTACCCAGTTCCGGTCCAGGGAACGCAGGAAATTGCCAGTTTTAGAGAGTCCAATTTTACAAATCTCCCGGGGGGGCATGCCCCCGGACCCCCACTAGGAGTTCGCGCCTCCGGCACTAACGGTCCACGTCCCGCAGCTGAACTACTGCATCCGGTACTTCCAAATGCTACCAAAAATTCTGATGAAGTTTTTATAGTATACATGATACTGCTTGGAAACAAGGGACCATGAATTCTATTGTTCCGTGTTCAATTTTGTGAAAAAAGAAAAATGTGGATCCACTGGTATCTTCGCACAAAAGTCAAATTCCCAAAGATGCAAATAGATAGTGCTTATATCCTCTTACAATATAGACCACGAGCGGTCGTTCTTTGTTCCTCAAAGCCACGCGAGCCGAGCGAAAAGTTAAAATTATGCAAATTACTGGCCTCGTTTCTCGCGGCTTCCCCGCTCTCCCCTCGCGCGTGCCACCTGTTCTCCCGCTCGCGTCTCCAAAGAAAAATAAGAGACTTACAATACGTAATCTGGCTCTTGACGTAATTCAACGTACGCGCGATAGAAAGTATAAAATCATAAACGTTTTGCAGAAAAGCTAGCAATGTAAAAAAAGGCCTGCCATGAAATGAATGGGAGGGTGGCCTTGTCAGCTGTAGTTCGGTCGGTTGGCTTTGAATCTTCTTCGGTTGCAGAGCGGGTTACGTTTAAATTTTAACAAAGTCTATTTAGCTGGGGCGCTTTACACTATCGGTACTTAAACGCAAACGAATCTAAACCCCATGTTTATGACCAAGTGAGCTTTTAAAACTACCTCTATACACACAAAAAGTAGCTTGTTTTGTTCAGCCAAATCAGAAAGCTTTAAGACACATTTTAGCTATTTAAAAAGATAAGAAATAGCGTGACATAACCCCTTTAAATCCAACTGAAAGACGTGCGATTGCGGGGAATTTAGCCACTTGATCATATTTCGGTACTTACGCCATAAAGATAAAGCCTAATACATAAAAGGTTTGAAGCTGTTTGAAGTCGCCGATTTTGCTTGTTCGAGTTGGTTTTTTCATCTTCCGGTGTTTACTACTTCGCGGTATAATTGGAATCGACGGCTCAGTATTAGCATTCCAATAGCTGAGTCTATTAAAAAGGCGCACAGGAACCCCACGTCTCCTTGCCCAGCCTTCCTGCGGGGTCTTAAAAACTGTCATTATTATCCTGTAGGATACTTCACCGAGACCAACTTTCTCTGTACTAAAATTGCCCAGTCCATAAGATAAATTCGTGGTATTCAATTTGCAACGTTCAGCTTTTTTAAGTAAGTTGGTTATCGTGGGTTCTCACGTGTATCAAATGGAACTAACAACAGGCAAGAGTTTACAGCACCGTCAACGTTAGAGAGAGCCAAGTCGTTTCATCTGTTTCATCTCAGTCCTCAAGAGCCACAAGGACCATTTAAGAAGTCCATCTTAGGGCCGAACGGATCGTCTCTCGGACCGTCTTTTAAAGCGATCTCAACTAGAGGTGTCCGTAGTTATACTAAATGGCATCGAGCGTTCACTGCAAGAGTTTGGATCAAGTCAGCTTATCTAATTTGATATGACATCAAAGACATTAAGAAGATTTCTGTTCGTGATGGGGCAAAATAAACAACTCCATCTGTTTGATCCCCGCACGCGAGGTCTAAGCGAGCCTGCTAAATTCTTTTTTATGCGACTGAGAGGTCTGTTTGCGAGAAAACAAATATCAAAAAAGACGTTAATTACAGTGTTCTGCCGTTATGTTGTGAGTGTAGTCCATTATCTGTCCTTTTTTTTACGGGTACTCAAAACCTCATTATTTTTCATTGAGTGAAATCGCTAGAGTTCCGTTGCTAACAAGGCTTTTATACTTGAAGATCTGAATGAAAACATGAAGTGAAACTTTTCAAGTGGACGCCATGACAAGGAGTAGAACACATTTTCATCCATATGGTCCATTTTTCAGCAATTTATTTCAGAGTTGAGTTCAGCTTTTCACCGCAATTGTGACGGGGTCAAACTTTAAAGGCAGTAGTACAGTTGATCGACGATTGATGAAAACCCGGACTCGGTAAACCATGATACCTCGCCTCTTACTCTGATTACGGGCAGTAAGTGGCTAAATAACAGCCATTGAATTTTTGTTAATATATGTCCTTCATTAATGGTAAACTTTTTAACAACTCCTGTTAAGGCCTTTGATACCAACCTCCCTCCCATGGCTATAATTCTGTTGAACATAGATCAGTCTCGCGTGATGTATCCGAATCGAAAAAGGCGCTCCATGAGACACTGTGTTTTAACACCTCGTCAAAGTTTATATTTACTGGCTCCCCACTGCTATAAATTCCCATATCAGTGCCGCTCCAAGACGCACTGCGCTTTCTACGCGGAGTTCTTTTATCGATGATATCAGGGGTGGTTTTACATGCAGAGCTTTCACCCTCTGTCAGGCAGTCCTTATTCTCTCCTTGTTCAGGCATCAATTGCGAAGACTCATCAATTGAGAAAGTACGCAATTGGAGAATTAGATTAACTTCTTCTGGCGTTTGAATACAAATAGTAGGTATGACAAAGTTATTACGTCCGCCCCTCTCTTTCAAGCTATTACTTTGACTACTGTCTTCCATCGACGATCTTTCAGGTGAGCAGGCCTGTTTTGGTTTTGTCCCGATTGAAAAACTGAAAGTAAAATGCTGTTTTTCGTCCTTTTCTCTCTGTAGGATCCGAGGCAAACTGAACGACCTGGTCCTACGTAAACTGGAAGCGTCGAGGGAAGGTCCATTCTTGAAGCGACGGAACACACGAGGAATACTCTCTTCTGATCTTCCTGTTTGCCGCGTTAAAGAAAACGTTTTAAAGCATATTAACCTATTCTTCTTTTCATGGGATCGTAATTCCATTTACAACAGTTGTAAGCAAGCTGTACCGCTAATTCGTACCGGATTTTCGTCTCGAACACTCTGTATACCTCTGTTGCTTGTGCGTGAGGGTGGAATTAAATTCGCGGATTTCGAGCACTGTTGGAGTCACGCTAATTCCTACTTGACGAAATACACGTGATTTCTGGTCCTAAACTTTCCGATCCGCAAAAAAACAGTTGATTTTCTAACGACAGCTTTTAACTCCTATCTCTGTGTGTCATACTGCAGAGCTAAGACGCGTGTAGATTCTTTAGTTTGTAAACATCTGTTTCGTATTTCGTACACAGATACGTCCGCAGTGTGTGCATACCTCTCGTCTGACGGCGTCGGTCAACGCGGCCAATGAATGAAATAATCAAAAGAATTAGAGAACTAATTAAATCAAGTTACTCTATTTAGGTAGGGTGATCCTATCAGCAATTGGCTGGTGCCAACAGGGGCCCTGTGTAAATTATGACTACATAAGAAAAATTATAAATTCGTACAAGGACTTAAAAAAGTTACCTTTAACCTTTGAACCCTTATTCGACCGCCAGCGAGTGACGAAAAACCCCATTTTTCGGCTAATTGGATGTAATTAAGAAGCTTTTTGTTTCTTGCGCATGCTGCTCTTTGCCTTTTTTTGGTACAAAATTGAATAGGTCACTTTCGAGTTCCAAAACCCCTAAATTTCAAAATGGGGGCCAAGTGCATAACCTTCCTAGTGGAAATACGTTTTATTTCCAAAGAATAACAAATCATTTCTATATCAAAGGCTGAACACTTAACCTTGTTTTGATACAGAGGCCCGGGGTAACTCGGAAATCATGGCCTATTCGGCGGGTTAACACTCTTGAAAGATTGATCGATAATTATATCACGGCAAGGGAGAATGAGCTGAATGGTGTTAATTCTTCAGAATCGTGTTCGTTGGAAGATGGATGGATGGATGGACGGACGGACGGACGGATGGATGGATAGATAGTCAGGAAACTTTATTAATGTGTCGGAGCTGTATAGCTTGGCAAAAACTCCAAACTAATTTGGGGACACAATTCATTATTGTAGTATACATGCAGTATAATAGTTAAAATATTAAAACTAAGCATAATGTATTACAATCTACTGAGAATCTGAAATGAGTAATATTAGCTATAAGACCGAGGAGAGTTGCAAATTTAAGGTGACTCGACCCAGTTTTTTTTAGGGGGTACCATCCTACTTTGAAGCTCTCTGGTATCCCCACCTTTACTTTTATCGTAAGTCTAACACATAGAATGGATAACATATAGATCAATCTACAATATAACATAAAATTTTTGGCGATCAGAGTAAATGTCACGCGGTTATAACGCCACGCCCCTTTAAGGTCTGAGTCGAAAATCTGCTGTTGCCAGCATTTTTTCGTGAACATCTCTCAGCTACACATAGTGCGCATTAGTGTCTTGCGCTGAACAGAGTTTCACCAAAATCGCAAAGACCCAATTCGAGAAATTCAGCGGTTTCCAAATTTAGGTCATAATTTATGCGAAAATGATAAGCAAACTTTACACGGATTATATCTAATAAACTATGAGATTAATCTCTGTATTTTGGGCATCCTTATAACAGATGGGTCCTTGAAAGTCACCAAAACGCTTGAGGGCCTTGTACATGCGCGCGATTTCGAGCAAAGCAAACATATAGAAATTATAGTTTTCGCTATTTGTTGACGTTTGTCAGCGTTTAAGAGTCAATCTCACGAAAAAAGCATTTTCTTAAAAATTCGTAGTTTTTTTCCTCCAAATTTTTTCAGGGCCACAATTGATTAACTAACTACCCGGACTCTGAATTTCATGGTCATTGAAAAACTGTGACATTATCTTCTATAAGCCCAAACTTGAGTAAACATTGAAGATTTTTAGCGTTTTGGCGAAATAGCGAAAACTATAATTTCTAAGTGTTTGCTTTGCTCGAAATCGCGCGCATGTACAAGGCCCTAAATTGTTTTGCTGACTTGCAAGGACCCATCTGCTATAAGGATACCCAAAATACAGAGATGAATCTCATAGTTTATTAGATATAATCCGTGTAAAGTTTGCTTATCATTTTCGCATAAATTATGACCTAAATTTGGAAACCGCTGAATTTCTCGAATTGGGTCTTTGCGATTTTGGTGAAACTCTGTTCAGCGCAAGACACTAATGCGCACTATGTGTAGCTGAGAGATGTTCACGAAAAAATGCTGGCAACAGCAGATTTTCGACTCAGACCTCAAAGGGGCGTGGCATTATAACCACGTGACATTTACTCCGATCGCCAAAAATTTTATGTTATATTGTAGATTGATCTATATGTTATCCATTCTATCTGTTAGACTTACGATAAAAGTAAAGGTGGGGATACCAGAGAGCTTCAAAGTAGGATGGTACCTCCTAAAAAAAACTGGGTCGAGTCACCTTAAATGATTATGATGAGCAGAGAGAACAGCCCTTACATTCCATCATCTAGTATTGAGCTGACATCATTTTTACGAATTCTACTTTCAAAAATATTCAACTGCGTTTTCACTGATGTTAAATCAGGAGGTAAATTTTGCCATATAACCTACACCGTAATTTTTAAGGAGTTATTATAACTCCAAAAATGGAGTAAAAATTTTAGGTACAGGATAAGCCCTTTTTTGGGGTTACTTTGACTCCTAATTTAACTCCACATCTGGGGTCATTTTTATCCCTGAAAAAGAGTTCTTTTTACTCCCAGTCTGGAGTTAAAATAACTCCGAAAATGGCGTTATTTTTACTCCTTACATGGGTTGTTTTTACTCTTTTTGGAGTTAATTTAACTCTGAAAGTGGAGTAAAAATTTTAGGTACAGGACAACTCCTTTTTTGGGTTATTTTAACTCCTCAATATCTGGGGTCATTTTTACTCCTGAAAAAGAGTTCTTTAAACTCCTTTTTGGAGTTAAAACAACTCCACTGTAAGGAGTTAAATTAACCCCACTAGAGGGGTTATCATAACTCATTAAAAATTACCGTGTAGGCCCAAGATACCGTAAAGAATGCTTACCGTATGTTACAGTATTATATCTAGGAATAGAGAAATCCGATTGTCGTAAAGATTAAGAATTGTGGTTATTGAAAAGATTACAGATATAAGTTGGACATGGTTTGTACTTCACTTTGTACACAAGGATGCAACTATCCTGTAGGTGCCTGTTCAACAGCGTTGGTAATTCTGCCCTCTTGAGAAGTTGTGGATAATTTGCATGCTTGACAGGCACAATCTGCCACGACTTTACTCTAACAATTACAAGCGAAAATACAGTAACTAAACAGAACAACATGATTGGCAGACGCGGATCCACCCCGGTTTCCATCGTTTCACGAAAATCGGTCAGATTCATAATACATATATATTTAATAAAAAAAATCTTCCCAAGTTGAAATGGTTTAGAAAAATTTTGTTGTTGTTGTTGTTCCAATTTCTGTGCATCAAATTCATCAATTCTACTTGTACCAAAGGAAACATGGATGACGTCAAGAGAGAATGAGCTGATGACGTCCTTTAGCCGGTTCTTTGGGAGCATGCTCCTGGACCCACCTAGAAGCTTTTAAAATTGCTCGTTCAGGAATTTATACTGACTGATTTCGGAAACCAGTCAGTATTTATCCTAGATCCGTGCCTGATTGGCAATATTACCTAGCATCGCAGTCGTTAAGTGAGTCTGATAGTCACCGTGAGTGTATTATTTACTTAAGCCTGCTGATTCAGTAAGTACCGAGTTTACAAAAAAATGCCGTGTCTACCGGAAATATGCAAGCTTTCTGACAAAAAAGGCAAACTTATGAACTGGAATCTGTAAGAACAACAAGTTTTACAGACTGAGGTAATTAAACTAAGTAGCAATATTTTGTATAGTTGATGTACAAGAAAACTAAACAAACAAACAAAGGAAAAAAGAGGAGAGAAAGAAATAGAAAGTAGCTTTTGAATAGTCTGTACTTTGCCCTTTGAGAACCTTTAACAGCTCGTTTTAACCAATACAATACACAATACAATAGATGAAAAATTCTCAGATGAACTAAATATATCCATCACGAACATTCTAGTTCAGTTTTCTTATCGTAGTGCGAAATATTTCTTTATAAGTTCTTCTCTCAAGATCTTTTTTTAGCCAGTACTTGCCCTGAGAAGCTCGGGCTATCTTTAGATGTGTAGCCTAAACTTAAAGACAATACATTCTCAAATCCACCGCAGTGAACACTGCATTTATTGCAGTGTCTGTTTCTCAGAATTTGTTTGATGTTTTTAGGGAGCGCTCAAGAGTGTCAGTAGGGGCTAATCTTATTTCCCAGTAGTTAATTGTTTCTTTCTATGACAAGCTGGATTGGTACACTGCATGGTGAAATCATAGTTGTTGACACTGAAGGAAAAAAAAATATAATAAGCAATCCTAGTTTGTTTGGTTATTTCATTCGACTGCTAAATGTAGAATATACTATAAAAGTACACTCTCTCATTTCCCTCAGCGAGTCACCTCCGTCGCGTCTGGCGCGAATTTCAAAGCGTGCTCGCGCGTTTCGCTCGCTCAACTATTACTGTGGAAAATGAAGGACTAACCGTAGTCAACAGGAGGAAAATGTATCATTCTTATAAAAGGTCGATTTATTTTTGTACGCAAGTTTACCGCAGACGCGCAATGGTCAACCCCAAACTCTAAATTTTAAAGATTAGCCATTGTTATCAGCAGCCATATTAAAAATTGAGGTATGTGTTATTGAAGCACTCGACAGCAGTGTTTAAATTCTTGTCAAGACAACGGCCATTAGCGTCAAATATCGGACCCTTCAAACCAAACACCAATCACGTGTCTCATGAGGTAAGTGGTTCAGCAGATAATGAAGACAGGGGTTGTGGATAGCCACGATTTATGGTAACTCTGATCTCTGTAGCCTCTCTTCAGTTATCTTTAATAACCTTTCGGGGCTGCAATGGAAGAGAAGTTTAAAGTGGGATTCAGTAAAATTCGCCGAAAAAGTACCAGCCATACGAGCTCATCGCGAAGTTCCTCGTCGTCATCATGCAGCGATAATTCATTTGCTGTGACGGAGGAGTGCTTGCACCACGACGTGGATACCGCTCAGATCATTGATATGGCTGAAATTGCCAAAAAACGCCGGCAGGGAAGAAGCAAATCAGTGGACTTCATCCGGAAGATCCATTGCCCGTCAACAGATGGCACCATTGACTTTACCTTCAAAACTAAATTGGATGCTCGAAGCTTCCAAGACCTGCCAACTACGACTTTATGTTCAACGGAACTTTAAAGCTTTCAGCATGGGATGGTTTTCCTTAAGACCTTCATGTATTCATTCCATTTGTTTAAAAAAGTGGAGCAAGTCCAGCCGATTCCGAAGGTAAGAGAACAAGCCATAACACGATGGAAACTTTAACTGAGACCTACATAAGCCATTTATCCTCTTAAAATGGAAACGCTTTGGTTTGAAAATAACAGATATTGTCATGGAAGAATTGGTTTCAGTTTGTCAGCAACTGATCCAGATTTAAATATTGAAGAATCAAGCTCGATTCCTCAAGATCCTTTTTTGGCACGTTAAAACTCTTAATTTTTGTTCCCAACAATGAGGCTTCTAGAAAAATCACATTCTACGTAGCCATTTTTTGACTTTGGTGGAATTTTGGCTATGGCGCAGATTCCAGACATGTACATCTTAGTCACCTTGTGTTTCGTCACAATTGAGGTACATTCAGTGGATTTGGAGTCCTACATATCGATGTCTCTCTTGGTAAATTGTATGAGTGATTCTTTACGAAATGTGGCTTCCAGGACATTATGGACATTGTTCTATGTTACAATAATTTCATCTGAGCTATTAAGAGAATACTTGAAAGAAAAAAAACAGTGTCTGCAGTCATAGCCCTCTTAAACTGTTGATAACTGTTACTTGTAATAATGCCTGAGTGGGAATACCAAAATGTAATTGTCACCTTAAATTCTTTCCGCTGCAAAAATGCTCAGGTTGTAATGAGAACGGACTTCAGACATTTGTTTAGAGGCAAGAGAAACTTTCACAGAAATAACCGGCTCGGCAGCTTGACTTCATTTAATGCTTTATAATCGTCATTTGGAAATTACCCTGTAATATAAAGTGCCAAGTAAATGTAGTTCAATCCACCAATATATCGATTATACAAGACACTTTGTCAAACAAAGATAATGAGAGCCAAAATTAGATAGTGTCATTTCCCCTAACAGAAAAGTAAAATTGAAAACTGAGCAATGAACACTTAAAATCATGAAAAATACCATTCAGTTATATCCTTAATCTTGTTATAGCTAAAAAAAGTGTTTCGATCTGTGAATGGCGAGATAACGAGATGTATCCTGTGTCTGTTACTGTAACTTAGAAATGATTATTCTCAGTTTTGTTTTTCGGAGATTTTGAAAGTATTATCTATTTTAGTGTGATTCAGCACTTCTTCTTATAACGTAAGAGAAACGAACTGCTTGTTCCATTATGAACCGGGCAGAATACTACCATGCTCGTCCCATTCTTGACATGATTCTAACACCTAGTAGTTGTTAGCCTACTCGACTAACCTAAAACTTAGTTGTGATAAACGTTATGGTGCTCAAACACTGGTTAGAAGGTTAGAAGCTGTTTTATAGTTTCGCGTTCCAATGTCATAACGGTTAAAACTGATCAAGTTAGGATGTCAGAATGTATATCCATCTAGAAGATGTTGACATTTCCAATAATTTCAGTTATTGTAGATCAAACGTTGCAAGAAATTTAAGTGAAATTCAGTGTCGAGCTTGTTGCCCCGGTTGAAGTAAGGTCTTTTCTAAAGTCCTCCTGAACAGCTTTCAGGAATAAATAGTTGGAATGATTTCATTTTACAGGGGCAATCAGAATTATTACAAAATGTTTTCCAACAGACGGCCAACTAGTTAGAAGAATTTGTGCTAATTTTGATTTAAAACACTAAGGTTAATTTAATTTAATTTACCCCTTCAACAATTATTATGTACGTCATAGCTTTGTTGCTCTAACGGAAGGGCCAATTATGTCGCATAACGGAGAACGGCTGTGTTTAAGAATTGCTGATAACAAAGAATGTTTATTCCCGGGTGGCAACAAACTTGGAATCATTTGGGACTGATAACTCGTCATGTGAAGTCACATGCAATAATGTGGTGTCCCTATACAAGTGAATTGAATAAAAAAATGACAAATATACATCTTCTGAATTCAACTATAAAATTATTCGGCAAAAAAGTGTATTAAAAATCTTATTATTGGAGTTCACGGCCATACAAACTGATCATGAGATAAATCACCGTATAGACCTGATATGACTGTCCACGATAAAACTGAACAACTGTGAATCCTCATATGTACCTACTTGAAGCGATAACAACGTTGAAAGCAAAAAGAGAGACAGGGACGGGGGTGGGGGAACAGGAAAAACATCAAGACCTTACAAGCCATGTATGTACACTTTGGAGAGCCAAGGCGCAAGTGTGGTACCAGTTGTGGGAGCTCTGGGAGTGATACCGTAACAACTAAAAGAGCCATTTGAAGGAAATAGAACTTCAGCCATGTCATGCAGAACTGTGCAGAAGTCTGCATTTCTTGCCAGAACGGCCACCATTTTGTGAACGTTCCTTGAAGAAAACTGAGTTCCTTGAAGATGTAGCAAGCCAGGGGTATAATTTCAAGTGGAGAGTGATGGTGCGCTTTCTCTGTAAGCCTATAATTTTTCTAACGTTTCCACTAAAGACACGCGACAGTCTGGTTCCTGTCGTCTTCAGTGCGCCAGAGAGCGGGAGCTCACGAAGCCCTCGACCGTTTTTTTAGTGCACTGTACACAACTGGAAGTGTTCTTTTCCCCCTCTGTTTTCCAAAAAAAGCGACGAAGACGGAAACAAGAAAAAACAAAAAAACAAAGCAAAATATACCAACAAATCAACAACAACAAAAAAATCTGATCGCCGGTCAATGTGGAATAGGATTGTATCAGTTTGGTTTGGAATTGGAAAAACTTTAGTGTTTGTCTTTGGCGCTAATTAGGTCAGAACTTATGCATAACTCCACATGTATGTTTCAGGAATTAACCCTGCAAAGTTATAATTCTCGTATAGTTTTCACTCTCCCAACCTCGAGTCATGCTACTTCCACCACCCTCTGGCAACGAAAACCTACAATTTTTAAAGTCGTTCAAACCATGAAAGCATCACCTTCTCGTGGCAGACCTGGTAAGCTTTCTGATGAAATCCAGTCCATGTTACTAGTCAAATGAAAACTATAAAAGAGGAGTATTAAGCATAAGTTTTAAGACGATGAAAATATTGTTTCTTTCTGTGAAATCCTGTTTATAAGCCCTTGATTAGCACAAACGGTAGGTAATTTTCAAGGGCGGAAAGGTCTAACCACAAGAGGTCATATTAGAAAGAGACGTTGTCGCGTAACATAAATCACAAAGAATTCTATGGAACTTTAGCGACTGCTATTTAGGGGTCAAAAATAGCCAAAAAATAAAAAAATAAAATATATCAATGAATATGGATCCACGCGAATTTTTTTTGCCTTGTCTCCATGGTTTATTTATTGCATGTTCACTCTCGGCTTGGAACTTTTCGTCATAATCAAGTATTAAAGAAACAGCGCCACGTCCAGCGAGTTTAGTTGTGCACCCTTTTGAGTCTTCTGTCTCATACATAGATAGGACAACTGAACAAATGAAACCTGCTGGAATAGCATGTTTCAAGCGTTCACATTGTGGGGACGGAGCAAAGACATGTGAACATGATCAGAAACAGCCAGCGGATGGGCTCTCTGATTTCGCACCGAACTCCACCATCTTAACGCGGCCTGGAACAGGCTATTGCTGGAATTAAACGGCGAAAAACGTCAAGAACACGCAATGAATGGAGCATTGAGACACTCGGGAAAGGAGTTCTCTTTTTTCTTTGCTACTTATGATGACTCCTAAGTAGCGATCGCTAAAATTCCCATACAAATCATTAAACTGATTATATGCAACAACGATTGTCTTGCCGGGCTTGGGATAAAGACTGTTGACTATAGCTAACCAAGCTGATCAAAACGTTTTTGTCCTTAATATAAAGATAGGCGCATTTTTGTTATTCATGTTTCTGTTTCAAAAACATCCTCCAGAAGACCAAGAGACGAGACAGGTCAATTAGATTGACCCCATTAAATGAAAGTCTAATGTTTTCCATAATTTTTGTCAATTGTTAGATCGAGTTTCAAGTACAATAACGTGCCTTTTCCTTACATTTAAGTCATCCAAACTCAACACATCTGTTTTGTTTCCGGGGAAATAAAAATCATCACAGATAATAATATTCTTTTCGATCAAGTACGGTCGAGTGGATGAAAAAAGCAGGCAATCTGAATTCTGCATTCTTTTTGTCGTTTGAAAGCGATTATTTTAACTGCTGTTCAAGATAGTAGAAACAGAGTCGAATAAATGTTACCTTTACCCCTTTTTAACCCAAGTTTGACAGAAGAGGTACCCCTTTCGTATATCTTCGTATACAGGGCCAGCAGGTAGATGTTTTCCGGAGATGGAGTACTCAGCGAAGTTTGATACGGAGAGGGTTCCGCCCCTACCAAGCTTCAGAAATTAAAAGGTACCTTTTTCGTATACCTTCTATTGACAAATGGTACCCCTTTCACCGTAGGTCCTAGTTTAGAACACTAATGCTTCCGTTTTAACTGCTGTAAAGGCACCGTCTTTTGAATATGAAAGAATCACTCAGACCAGGAAGAAAATGCGTCTGTAAGCCTTTTTGGTCCTTTCACAGATCGAAATGACAGCTTTTGCTACCCTTTCATTCATATACTTCAACTAACGAATAGCTAAATGTCGTGGGTCGTGGGTCGTGGGTACCCCTAACCTTTTAAGGCCTGAAAAGGTACCTCTCTCCGGCGAAGCCTCCCCGTATATACGCTGTAGAAGGACAGATGGAGTCCTAAAACCAGTCAACTCTCACAAGTGATTGGTATGTACTTTTCCCTATAATACCTGAGTTGCAGCCGGACTGATCAGACCTGCCCTATACAGTAGATAAAGAACAATCCAATACGATGCCAAGCAGATGATGACAATAGGCAAATGCATGCAGCCATTTGCCTGGGGATGCTATTAAGATAAAACCCCAAATTCTCCTAACTATATATTTTAAAAGAAAATGTGTTGCAGCCAGAAAGGAGAATCGCTAATCAGTTCTTGGGAGTTACAGGGAGAAGCAAAAAGAATAATTTTTTTTAGGGTCGGAACATAATATGTCGCCTTTTTTTCTTCAACTGCAATTTTAATCTTGGTTTTCAGCCTGGTTATGCATGCTCCATTTTATGGAATGATAAATGAGATCGGCTAAGATAAATCTCCTAAATGCAGTTAATTACAGTAGTGTCTGAAGTGAGATTAATACAATGTATGAATCCATTGTTATTTTTAACACTATTTGATCGGCGCTATAGGTACTTTTGAAGTATTTCAAGCACATACCATCTCATAGCAAAACAACAATAGCAATTGACACTAGCTATGGATAATTCGGCCTTGGGGACAATTAGGGTATCCATTACCGCAATCACCGCAAAACAACTTGTGGTCTTGTTCATTGTGATCGCATTTATATTTAGTACCGACATTGCTCACAACAACTCGCAAATTCACTGCAAATAATAAGCCTTCACAGCTATTTAGTATCAGACTATTGTCCTGAGTTTGCACACCCATCTAAAGGTTTATTGCAAGGGGAAATTACTCATGGATAATCGGAAACGGTATATCTCCTTTTCCACTGAGCAACAGGAACACGGACAGAAATAGCCACCATAAAACCCCTCAAATGCACCGTCATGGAGAACGTGGAGTTTCCATTTCCGTAAATTGGTTCAAAGTTCCGTAGAACACAGCGTTGTCGTAAGAAAACCATTTTGAACGCTTGTATCGCTAAAGATTCCTCTGTTCCGACAACATCCCCAAAGTTCTCGAATATCATGCTCGATTTCAAAATCTTCCACTACGACATTTATCATTCGCTTTCTATCAAAGATGGTGGAAAAATTCCTTGTTTTCGCGGTCTGTGGGTCAGAACTGCTTACCGGGCTACAAACGCCTCCCGTTACCGAATAACTCCTCTCTCTTTTATAAGGCTGCAATTTCCTCTTTTTCGGAACTGTATGGTTGGCGCAGTATTGTTTGTTTAGTCTGGAACCGTCAACGTTGGGACTATTTTGTATCGCAAAGCTCGTTGCTTGACAACACGCATCTCTTGTACAAGAAATTGACGCCGAACGCAATCGTGTCTTGTCCTGTTGTTGCTTCCAGCTCAAAAAGGCAAAAACTTTTAAGAAATCACCCTTCATAGCTGTCCTCAATATTTAGCGTCTGACACAGTAGTCTGTATTGTCTATATTGCGCGCTGAAACAGTAAAAATGGCGAATATTATTAGCTGATATCAGATAGTCACGTGATATTACGTTATTGGGTTGATCACAGATCGCCGGACGGAAAAACAAAATTCCGTGAAAGTCAAGTGCAATGACTGAACAACATTTGACCCGCTTAATTTTCCGTCTTGTTTATCTGGTTTTGTATGTCCATGACGAGAGCTCAGCTTTGACCTTCGGCGGGGGAATTATTTAAATCTAATGCGTGGTGAAAACTGCTCAGTTCGAGGGCGGGTCGGGGTGTGATTCAGTTTGCGCAAGAAGTTAATTCCCAAACCTCCCACTGTTATCGATTTTTTCCTCACATTTCTCGGTGCAAAGACTGTGTTCCTCGTTGCGAGACTCTTTTCGATCTAGATCTTTTTGCCGAATATTGTTTGAAATCACTCAAAACACAGCCTTCCCCCCCCCCAACCCCCTTAACTAAAAACTTAAATGACTGGCCCCTGTAATTCACAGTTACAGTTATCAGTATCATTTACCAATCGAGACAGCGAGGAGGAGCGCAACGATTTAAAAGAAAAGGCTACACCGACAAATTACGTCATTGCTTAGCAATGTTGACATAGGGTACAGTAAAACTCCACGTGCAAGAACCTACATCTTTTGAAGTCTGGCAAAATAGGTTCTTTCTATACAGAATATACATATGCATTGTTATCTATAAGGATTTTCTTCTAATTTAAATTTGCAATCGATCGTCGTTAAAATGTTCATCATAGTTCAACTGTAACCCACTGTTCCTCTGTCCCCAACTGTTCCTCTGTGCCCACTGTTCCCAACTGTTCCTCTCTGCCCACTGTTCCCAACTGTTCCTCTCTGCCCACTCTTCCTCTGTGCCTACTTTTCCTCTGCGCCCACTGTTCCTCTGTGCCCAATGTTCCTCTATGCCTACTGTTCCTCTGTGCCCACTGTTCCTCCGTGCCTACTGCTCCTCTATTCTCACTGTTCCTCTGTTCCGAACTGTTCCTCCGTCCTCGCCCAACTGTTCCTAACTTGCCCTCTGAATAATCACTAGTTGATCTATTTCAATTGCTATGTGTAATGATTAACTATTTCAGCTCTCGGTATCATGAGGGACAACCCGAGCTGCTTGATCTTGCTTAGTTAAACAGGTTCTTGTATTTTTGTTAATTGAAATGGCAAATTTCTACTGTGCCAGCAGCTTCTTAAACCACTTAGTTCTCACAAGTGGGAAAAGACTATTCTATTCATGGATTTACACATTTGCTAGTGTCTTTGCTTTTTTGCAACACAAAAGAACCAAGGGAGAACCGAAAAGAACTTTTTAGGGGAGTTCTAATCAAGTTTGTAAATAATCTAGTAAGTTTTCAAGAGAAAAAAGCACGTATTAATTGAGTTACAAACTTATACGCCCAAAGTAATTGTACGGATCGAACAGAACAAAGGAATGTACTGCTAGAGTAATCAAAGAGCCAAAACTTGAAACAATGGATAGTTTTGGGCTATTTTCACTGTATTCTCTGAGAACGAGCGGTTTGTCCTTCCTAATGAAGTGCTAATGACTTTTCATGGCATTGAAGACCTCAATCTAAAATCTCTATACATGAACGAATTAACACATGTCTTTGCGAATTGCATAAATACATGGATAAGCCAAGTCAACACCCTACCCCAAAAATACTTATCGTAGGCGTTTTTATAATACTGCTAACAGAGTCCTTAAGGGTGACGTCATAAAAAATTAAATGTGCGAAATTATGAGATTTTTTTGCCGAGTAATATATTATAAAAGAACAACATTACGGAACATTATATGTTTCTGGGAAACTGCCCACCTACCCCTCCCCTTGGCCTACGTTTTGCCCTAAGTGAGAAGTAAGTGTTAATGTTGGCTTAGGGGAGGGGTAGGTGGTTGTTTTGTGGCGTGAGTATTGTTCAGTGTGTGTTCAATTTTTGCATTACTTCATTTTTTGATATGCACCTGGCAGTAATACTAAGAAAGTCAAACGACATTTTTTGGACAGAAATGGTATTCTCTTCGTATACGTTTCATTGACAAATGGTATCCCTTTCGCATGCCTAGTCAGTTCAGAACGCGGCATCCTTTTTAACTGCTGCAGGTGCGCTGTCTTAAGAATATAAATAAGTCATTGAACCAGGAAGTTTTCTTGACTTTTTCGCTGTCATAGAATGCATCTGCCCCTTTTCTTTCTCTTAGCAGTGGAACACCAAGATAGCGCTAACTCGCCGAAAACGCCTCAAAACGGCCTGAGACGCGGGCAAACAACAAAGAATACAACAAGGCAATAAAGTACGTCGATTTTATTTAAAAACATAACATTTTTTCTCTTTTTAGAAAAATCGTTTACATCCTATACAAGCCTTTGTAAATAACCGTTTGTAACACGACACCGCTCGCAAGCAAGAGTCACGTCCGCGTTCATGTAATGAGCTTGGGCCGCCTGTGGTCGAAATTGCTCCCGTGAATCTTTGAAAACTGCTGTCAAACGTAGGGGATAGAAACAAGCGACGACAAATTCTAACAACACTGACCGGAATCTGTCGATTATTACTCCTGACAGTTCCATTTCTCTCCAGATAGAAGTCGTTTGCAGATTCAAAACATATCCTTGCAGATATCAGCGGTATGTCAAGCAATTGAAATCGATGTTAAAAGGCACGCAACCACAATGACGAAATCGTTTTCCTTGCAGATTGGTAATAAAATGAGCTCAGTAAACAAAGATTTGCCGAAGAGGAAATGTCAAGTGGCTGATTTAGAAGAAGCCGTGGAAAATATGCGCCGTTTAACCAAGGAGAAACCTCGAATAGGTTTTCTCGGGAAAGAATTTCTGAT